GTAGAATAGTCTATTGGCTGAACCATGTTTTCACATTTCCAAATAACAATATACACAACAACCATACGATTGATTCTGAAGAACGTATTGAACGCATACTTGACGCTTTCCAGCTCCATAACCGAACCATATACCCTTCAAGATATATCAAGCCCCCCTCCATTAAGACATCACGCGCTTATAATAACTTGCGATGATGGCTACTGGCTTTAGTAAATGATAAAATCAGATTTTCAAGCGATTTATATTTCGTATATGTTGCGTTTTGATTTTGATCGCTGTACGTGTCTGATAAGTCAATATTTTTTGTTAAGTTCTTTTTAATCTTGTATGTGGATTCCATGTAAGTCTGCTATGTAGGTAAAACCCAAGGTAACGCACTTGGCTGGTGGTATTATTTTGTTGTTTATGCTGGTGGCCCGGTCTGATGTTTGAGATTAAACCTCACTTGCTGGCTTTTTTGCTGGTTGAACCTGAGCCGCCACCGAGTGCACCAGCCGGTAACGAGGTTCAGATATTTTTGGATTGTTTCTGTGGCTAGGATAGAATTGGTGTGTCTAGATTAGATTGCGTTGTCGTTCGCATTGATTGTGATTGGATGTGTACTTTTGTTAGCAGGTAGATGGTGGTAGGATTGGACCTAGGATACTTCCGTGCAGGACGCCAGCTTTGATCGATGCCGATTCTCTTTTGAAACCATCGTACGAGATGAAAGATTTCAAGGCGAGAGTAGATGTGCCAGAGGATACGTTTTAGTTTATAAAAGAGGCCGGTGTGTAAATAAATAAAAATTATAAACTATGCCTGAATACATTAAATTTAGAATTCTTTCCGTACAAACGTTTACTGCTTTCGTACTATTGTTTTGCATCAATCAGCTAAATTAATTCTTTCACATGTACACCACACATACGTTTTAATTTTGTCCGTGTCCATTGTAGTACAGGAATCTCCGAGCAGGTAAAATATGATTGACTTCATATCTGTCAAATCTACACCTGAGGAACTACCAGGAAACCGGAAAAGTTCGTGTGGTTTTTTATTTGTTATTGTTTTATACCGATAATCAACCTTTCTATTTATTTAGGAGGGTTTAGTGCTGCGATGAAACAATAAGTAAGCGCATTACTCAAAATTTTGTCGGTGAATATTCGATTTTCGCTTCAATGGGACAGGGTTATTTGGTGACAGACAAAGCAACTGTACACTGTACTGGTGTTACTGTACGGGATCCATTTTTCGTCTCATATAACAATCCAGTAATAACAAAATCCTCTAACCCGACTTTGAATCGGTCAAACCAGACTCACCTATAATTTACGATTAAACACATATGCCCAATCTTTTTATCTTTTGTTACTATTTCCCACATTATGATTGACTGTGGTACACCTATTCCAGAAACCTCCACCAAATCACCAACGATATCCACTCCATACAAATCAACAATATTAAACTAAATTTTCAACTTCTTTGCAGACATCCAACTTATAGATAAAATGTAATATAACATCCCTTAATTATTGTTTCCTCTGCTGGCGCTCCATGTTTATGTTGAGGTTATATTACGGTTAGGAGGAAGAAAGGGGGTTAAGCTAGGTAGGCTGCTTTGTTATTTTGAATCTTTTTTTTTTTTTTTTAAAGGAAAGCGGTCGCAAGCCTTTGTCGGATGTGTACCCTTCGTACTAGAGGACTTTAATCTCTCCATTACCTTTTTGTAAAAATATTGAGAGCACTTAACAAATAAACGATCGAATTGTGAGTTGTGCAGAAAAAAGGTTTCCACAGTTTTGTTCAGAGTGTGCGAGTGACAGTTCGCCACTAAACGGTTAGCGTACGCAAAAACTCGTCTCAAGGGTGAAAAGTATCGATTTTGAAAATAAATAATGAGAATAAACATGTTGGGGAGGGATTCGTGAAAATATCCCTGACAGAACGAACCAACCTGGTCAAGAGTGGATCCTAAGCGAGGAGAAGTGACGATGTTAAATAGCGATACTGAGTTTTTGACCATGATCAATGAGGGCATATAAAAGACGGGAGCATATTTCTTATCTAAGGCATAGCAGAAGTTCCTCAAAGAGATTCGGTCGTTGTAGAATGGAATCTTTTTCAAGTACGATAGCTGAGAACAAATTCTGAAGAAGCGTCATCCATATCATATGGACATGAACAGCTGAAGAAAATTGTCCCAAATATTACGGAAGACAACCGGACGAAATACCAAGGGTTATGTGTCTTTGCCTTCTTACTTTCGAAGGCACTATTTGAAAGCATCTGGGGTTCTAGATAAAGTTGTATATATAGCTTTCTTCAGTCAAATTGGTACTTTTTTCTACCAATTTAATACTTTTTCCAACCAAATTAGTACTTTTCCCAAGCGATTTAATACTTTTCTCAAGCAATTTAATATTTTTCCCAACCAAATTAGTACCTATCTTAAGCAAGTTAATACTTTTCCCAAGCAAATTAATACTTTTCCCAAGCAAATTAATACTTTTCCCAAGCGATTTAATACTTTTCTCAAGCAATTTAATATTTTTCCCAACCAAATTAGTACTTTTCCCAAGCGATTTAATACTTTTCTCAAGCATTTTAATATTTCTCCCAACCAAATTAGTACCTATCCTAAGCAAGATAATTCTTTTCCCAAGCAAATTAATACTTTTCCCAAGCAAATCGTTCCTAGACGGATTTCTAGGAAATTCCTCTTCCCCTGTTCTTGGTTTCTTTACCCCTAAAATATTCAGTTGTTTGTCACGTCTTATTGTATGCATTGTGTGAGTTTTATATACATAGAATGAGTGACGGAAGTGACTAGAGTGACATAAGTGGTCATGATGATGAAACATCACCTAGTGCTGCCGGCGGTTCATCTTCGTCCGGTGTCCAACGTTCAAGACCGAGCAGGGGTATCTACGCAGTTACATCAAGGCATCAAAAAGAACTTTTTATAAAATTAGTTGAAGAGGGTCATTCAGTCAAAGATGCAGCTCAAAAATCAAATTTAAAGACTCGAACTGGCTACAGTATATACAGAAATTATACGTCTCAAAACTGTACGTTAGTAATTAAAAAAACAGATGGACCCCGGCTGCACAAGTTGACCCCTTATGTTCTTGCCGCTATTGAGGAAATCATTGAAGGAAACGCGGGTCTTCATTACAAGATATTAAAGAACAGCTTGCATTAGGTAACATAAATTTGTCTATTTCTTCAATACACCGAGGGCTAACGTCATTAAAAATAACTTTGAAGCGTGCGTCCATTGAAATAGATCGCATGAATTCTGAGTCAACGGTACAACAACGAAGGCAGTTTGCAATGGATTTTGAAATATGTGTCCCCCAAAATCGCGCAAAATTAATTTTTATAGATGAATCAGGATTTAATCTACATTTGCGGCGGACACGTGCACGTTCAAGGGTTAAACACGAGAACTGTTGTCACCGTACAACAGTTCGTGGTCGCAACGCGACTGTCGTTCTTGCTATAAATAATCAGCAGGTAGTACATTATTCTGTAATTAGAAGCGAACTGTAACAGTAGTTTATTTTGCGATTTCCTACATGATATTTGCGAGAAACTTAATGCAATGGAGCTGAACAACTCTATTCTGATAATGGATAATGCAGCCATTCACAGAACGCAAGATGTACGCAATGTTGTAGAATCGTTTTTTCACACCATCAAGTACTTGTCTCCATATTCCCCAATGTTAAACCCAGCTGAATAGCTTTTTCTAAAATAAAGGCATCAGCCAGGAGGGTTTTAGGTGGGACAGCTGCAGAACACGACATTGCAGAAGTGATTAGTTGCAGTGTCAACATCATCAATTCTACATATTGCTCCAGTTTTGTCATTGATGTGATACTGAAATTACCATCAGCGGTTGCTGGATGTCCCCTGCATTGATTTTGAAATAAAAGGTTCATTTTGTTAATTTTCTTATTTTCAATAATAAATTTCGTTTCTTGACTGTATGATTATGTTTAATATCCCCCTTTACCCCACCACATTTGAAAAGTATTAAATTGCTCGGGAAAAGTATTAATGTGCTTGGGAAAAGTATTAATTTGCTCGGGAAAAGTATTAAATCGCTTGGGAAAAGTACTAATTTAGTTGGAAAAAGTATTAAATTGGTATAAAAGAGTACCAATTTAACTGAAAAAAGCTATATTCCACTGAAATTTCTGGTAGAATGGTTTTCTCACTGCTTCATATGCAAAAATCGATGCCAACCTTGTACAATAACGTCGTTCACGTACGGCTATAGTTTTATCCAATTAAAAATTCACTCGTTCTATGTAGATAATTAAAATTGTCAGGCTGTCCAATAAATGCCCTTTCAAAATAGAATGCTACGTCCAATTTTGCGAAATCGGTTTCACAGCCTCTTTCCGGCTATAAAGTGATTTGCAAACTTTCCTTCTGAATGGAAACCTGTAAAACTGATTTACTACCGCGGAGGGAGGAGGCAGATTGGGAGGCTGGGTCGCCGATAGGGCAGCCGTCCCATTCCGATTGTTCATGTACATTGAGTTAGGGTAATTCAGGGAGCATTGGAATATTCAGCTCGCTTATGGTAATGGGGAAAAGCGAATTACCTTGACTATAGAAAGTTGTGGGATTTTTGTAGTTTAATATCACTACCTTATATTTTACGTTCTTATCGTCCCGTATTAAAAACGTAAAATTTCTTAATTCTCATTTATTATACTTTTACGTTTTAGAATTGTAAAACTTCCTTTTACTGTAAGGATTTCACCCAATTTTTTATATATTATCCATTTATTCCTCCATTTTTGTTTAGTTATTCTTTTTATGTAAGATCTTGGTTGAGATGACTCAGTTATTTGTTGAATTTTGGGGAGATCATTATCCTTGATAATTCTTTTAAAAAACGACCTATTTAACTATTGAAATTGTTGGTTTAATCTAGGTTTACATCAATTATAGAAAAACCTGAAAAAATCTGTCTTAATTTCAACTTAACTAACCTTATGTACTTCGAGAACTCGTAGTCGACGTCGTCGGGTTTTTTCGTCATTCTGTAATGTTAATATGAGAAATAGGATGCTGTAAGTTAAAACAAACCAAAAAACTTGTAATTAATGTAATGTTGTAATATTTATTCAGGCCCTGATGATGGTCTTATAAAGGCCGAAAGCTGGGCAAGTGATCACAGAGTCTACTTCTTTCTCTACCTGACCAGAAACCAGATCCCAAACACAAGAAAAAGTTAGTGATACGAGAGGGATTCGAACCCACAACCTTCAGATCAATACGCCTCTGCTCAAACCACCTGTGCTATAGCTATAACATAGCTATATATAGCTAACAATAATATACAAGTGAAGTCACGATAGCTCAAGTGCTTAGAGCAGCGACGTATTGAGCCGAAGGTCGTGGGTTCGAATCCCGCTCGTGACACTATCATCTCAATCAAACCTTACATAGAAAGAATAATTAATTATATATTACTTCACATACCGTACTATCTGTTTTCACTGAATTATCCATGTTTTTCAAGGATCTGCTGTTGTTTGGATCACGAATATATCGTTTACACCTAAATCATCATTGTTCTAGTTTCACCGTTCTACTCCTGGCTGCAATGATGTGAACAGACACTTTCATCACTCTAAAGAGCATCTCAAAATCCAGACAACCAGCATATTCTTATAAAATTAACGGAATATAAATGGCACAGCATCATTCAAATCATAATCGACAATGAACAGACAATATGGCAAGAAAAGCTTCAAGTGGTACTCATCGATTTGGGGTCCTCCTCAGTGACCTCTGCGACACATTAGGCAGCTCGCCTCAGTGGTTTGAAAGCGGGAAATAACAACTCCTTGCATTATAAAAATATGTAAAGCGACAGGACTCCTCCTACAGTTCTTTCGAAAAGAGACGAAACCCTGCTCGGAATTGGTCACACCGGGCTGACCCATAGTTTTTCCTCGAAATAACGCCAATGTCCAACCTGTCTATGTTAATACTATTTTCCGTATCATAATTGATTGTCCTTTATACAGCTATACCAGTACCAATCAATTTGGACAGCTCAGAAACCTTCAACTGAAGAAGAAAGAAACCCTTCTAACCCAGCTTTGAATTAGCACACCCAGTTCACCCTTCGTTTCCTGTATGAAAAACCCTTAAATCCATATTTCCAATCTGTAGACCTTCCATTATATTTTATATATTCTAATTGATCCTTTATGTAACCAACCCACGAACAATTTTGACAATTCAGAAACCTTCTTCAGACCGAAAAAAAGAATCCTTTCTAACCCGGCTTTGAATTGGCCATAACCTGCTCACCCAAAGATTCTCCTCTGCCTCGTGGTTGGCTGTGCCGTTACCAAAACAATAATAAAATAAAATATAAACGGGATGCACTAACTAAATAAAGCTCGACAAAAATATGAAATTTGAACCAATATTTATTTTAAAAACATTTCATGTTTGTTTATTATTTCCTCGGTCATCACGTTCGTGTACGATGGTTTAAATTATGAGGGGTGAAAGGTTAAATTTAAACGCATAACATTAATTTAAATTTAAACACATAATTTAAGTTACTAAATACTTAAAAACTACAGTGGATTACTATTATAACCTTGCCAAGCTTTGATCTTCTTCAGGGCTAGTTTCAATGTTGTTATTACATTAAAAACTTTGATAACTATAATAAATATGGAGGTACATGTGTGAGGAAACGACCTGATCTTCATAATATCAACGTCTGTTCGTAGTTGGTTGAATACTATCATTACTATACTCTTAAATAACCCTATCGAAATAAACACGGTAAAATTTAAAATATCTTTTAAAAGAAGAATTTCTATTTTATATTGCGTCTGGAGGTGCTACGCTAAATGTTTCCAGGTTGCAACGTCACTTCTTTCTCCAATATCCTCCAGTCACTTCTGGGATAAATTGAAATGGTATTTTCAATTCAAAGATATGTGCGAGATTCATTTCTTTGGTTTAGGTCTAGTGAATTTTCTTTCGGTTTGTTTATTTTTCTCTGATCAGCCAATATAAGAAGTGATAGCGTTGTTTGTACTGTGTAAAATTGTACACTAAAGAGACTCCAATCAGTTAGATTAGATAGATAAAATTTATTATGAGCTATTTTTTTTAACAAACTCCATTTTCCGCCCAAAAAATCAAGTTCTTGTGCAACGATTAACAGTTCTTTTACATCCAAGATCAAGATAATAATTAACGATTACACTTCAACAGTAAGAAGGGAGAAAAGAAAAAAGAAGAAGAAAAGGTTGAGAAAAAGTCGTTATTTAAAAAAAAAACCTGAAACTTCCTTAGATTTTTAGAAGTGCTTAATGAAAATCCTAAATTTTCCTTGATGTGCTAATAAAAATAAAATATTTTTATATAAAATACTATTTAACAATGTAATTTGAAGTGCATGTGTAATTAACAATTGATAATAAAAAATTTCATATATATTATCTAAAGAAAATTAAATTTACGAAGACGATAAGAAACGCTCGGTCGTACAAATTTCACACTTAAAGCTCATTAAAAGTTTTTCACCGGCACCTTTTTACAACGTAAAACTTGGAAATTATAGTTCATATAAATTGGATAAAAATTTGAACTCTTCATTTATAAACCGTTGCTTCCATTCATTGAGGCGTTACTTTTTTCTATTAATAGAATTAAAATTAAAATTATATAAAATTAAATATTAAAATAAAGAATTATTTTATATATGACGATCAATAAACCAGAAAACTAGAATATACAGATATATATGTATATCAGTGTATATTGTACATGGGAGAGGACCAAAGATGATTCCTTGCGCTACTCCTGTCCTAAGTGGAAGAAAGCGGATAGATTTGCATCTTGTCTGTCTCGTTAATACCTGCCGGACAGACCAAGTAACAGGTTGCACCAGAGAATTACTCTCCTCACTGAAGACTAGAAGTGATGACATTTACAACTCGATGATTCAGTTGAATGCTGTGGTGCGAACCGAAGCCAAATTATTAGTTTGTCTTACGACCGTAGATAGAGAGTAAGTAAACACGTCAGTGCAAATTGGTTAGGTGGGAAGTTTTATTTGATTTTCGGATAATTTCAAATATTACATTTTCCCGGAGAATAGGATAAAGTGTTGTTCTACTTTTGAGATAGAGTGCGAAGTAATACAAGTGTATTTAGGTCGTGTTCTGGAAATTGTTAGATAATTCATCACAATCACTTTGATTACAGTTAGAGTGATAGGTTTGGGCGTATATGTCTGAGTGTGTTTGGTCTAATATGTCAATCCGGAGTGAAGGCAGTGGCCAATGTATTTAGCAAATAAATTTGCTTTTGTACCATCATATATCGCCTATGTTTTGTCGTCTCGGTGAAGGCAATTAAAAATAAACTTAAGGAGTCAAGGAGCTACGCCAATATCATTGCTCAAATCAATATCGATATGTATCGATATTTGTATGTACATATATCATCATCACATCACACAAAACATATAATACCACATATAAAACAATCATCACATTCCACATTAAACATTTCTACAAAGACTAATTCTTCAACAATTTGGCTTTCCTTTCCTTAATTATCCCCGTCTGTATAATACTGAAATGTGTGGTGATTAGTGACCGTTTGTCGATGATTATTCAGAAATCGTGAGATGAGGTCTGGTGTGATGTAGGTTTCAGAAAAACATTTTCTTTATCGTTCCAACGTTTCGATCTTTATTGGGATCATCTTCAGGGCCTGGGATTTACAAACATTGTTTAAATTTAACAAATACATGAACAATGTTTGTAAATCCCTGGCCCTGAAGATGATCTCAATAAACATCGAAACGTTGACATGATAAAATGTTTTTCTGAAATGTGTAGAGATTAGTGACCGTTAATCGATAGTTTTTCAGATATCGTGAGATGCGGTCGGGTGTGATGTAGGTTTCAGAAAAACATTTTCTTTATTGGCACGACAAAGCAAATGATTTTCTGAAACCTACATCACACCCGACCGCATTTCACGATATCTGAATAACTGTTTTTCTGAAACCTACATCACACCAAACCGCATCTCACGATTTCTGAATAATCATCGACAAACGGTCACTCTATCAGTCCAGGTGTTGAACTATTGAAATTCGTTGCTAATATACTGAACAGGTTAGACTTAAGAAATTGGTGTAGTGTCAGCAATTTATACATCTTTAGAGAAGCCGTCATAGGTCTCAGTACAGAAGAGAATAACGTTTATATCTTTAGATGTCTGACGTGACGGTCTGGTGTGACGTAAATTTTAGAAAAATATTTTCTTTTTCGTGCCAACGTTTCGATCTTCATTGAGATCATCTTCGGGGCCTGGGATTTATAAACATTGTTTAAATTATACAAATGTAGGATATTAAAAACTGAATTTAAAACTCAATCAAAATATTTGTATTCACTCAAAGTGATTGTTTTATGTGTAGATCTGTCATTATTGTGTGTCGTGTTGAGAGTGCCGGTGAGGTATTGATGTTTTTGTCTATAATCGTTGGATTTTGAAGGGGTTGGGAAGGAAGTCGGGATAGGAGATACTTAAGATAGGAAAATCTTCAACCGTGTACAGCTCAGACGAACAGGGAAAATGTAAAGATGAACTTGTGCCCTGTCGATAGGAGGCTCTTGGAGGATTTTATTTGATAAAGGGTCATTCTTACCCGATTAAGGATAGGCCATGCGTGGTAGAGGCTAAAGCCATCTAAGAACGCTCCATATGTCCCACTTACTTGAAGGGTGCCACTCTTTGGATCCGTATAGAGCGCGTGTAGGAGTGCCACCGGATATGAGAATTGTGCATGAGCACGGCAGCGAGTATATGAATCCTCCTGTTTCGATTCTTAAAAGAAACAGGGTTGTTTTATTTATAGTACTGATAGTTTTCAGTCCGTAGGGTGTGAATGTATTTATTAGCGTGAATGCTTAATGTGAGAGTCCAATGGCGTAACATTGATTACCTTATCGACCCTAAATTATGTTAGTGACGTGGCATAGA